AGGCCTCTCTGTGCCGCTCGCCGTGCCTCCGAGCGTCCGCAGTCTCCGGTTAGCTTAATCAGTACCCACGAGGAGACAACTATATACCCACGGCTACATAGTTTCGCGCGCATGTGGCGGGCACACATCGACCCCGGGTACACCGGGGACCCACGAAATCCGGCCACTCTTTCTGCCCGCTGTTATCCCGCGTGCAACCGGTCAGCCCGCGAAACCGCCGGGGCGTGCTAATTAATCCGGACGGAGATTTGATTATGATATCGGCAAAGGATGTCCGGAGCCATTCGTCGGCCCGGTGTTTACGGATCGGACATCCGATCGCGACGTTCTCGGGTAGATCGCCGAGGTCGGGTCCTTCTTTTGTCACCGCGCGCGTCGGTCGCGCGAGATAAAATCCATTTCTCGAGAACCACGCTCCGTTCGAAGTCGCTCCGCTGCTCAAGGACATCGACGAGCGTCCCCCACCACCGCGGCGGGATGCTCTACCCCCACCACCGCGCTCCGCGTCTCTCTGCCAAGCGACCCCAAACGCTCAGTCCATCGGAGCAGCCTATAAAACGTCCCCTACAATTAACGATACATCGATCCCGCTATTAATGCGGCGAACAATGCGACATAAGGCAAGAACGTGGCACGAGCTGGCGCAAGATCGCGGAACAAAGGGGAACGCAAATCACTCGCCGGGAGGGTCAGCATCGACGCGAACGTTCTCACGCATGACGAAGGCGAGCGAGGGATCTCTCCGTGAGCCGGGAATCGGCCGGTAAAGAGCGCGAAGACGACGGCTACCGTGTATATAGCCACGGCGCGCGGTGGTCGACGAAGGTCCAGGGCAGAGGACCGAAGATATATCACGTTGTCGGCCGACATACCATTCTTTCGCGGCAGCCGACACAGTGTGTGCGCGCAGCGTTCACAAATTAAGGAGCGCCAAAGTCCACGGGACGGCGTAGGTATGGCGCTATCGCGCTTCATAAAACTTCGTTAGCAAGGCTGCAAGTAGACGGCCGAGCGCGGTATATACCGAGCGCGTAGAGAAACGCGCTGATGGCCCCTCGCACGCCCGACCGGGGCTACCGTAAAAATTCATTTTGCTTCCCGGCCGTGTAATTTCCCCCGGATTCTTGCATCTTTCGCGCCGGACCGTATTAGGCGGAACCGTGTTCGCAGCTGGTCCCCGCGTTCTCGCTCCTGCGTCGGTGATCACGCGCGCTCGTCTGTCGCTCGGGCTGATCCTAATCTTGATTAGCACTCGCACGCTCCTTTATACTCCGCGTAAACGAGATTCATTGTGCCGTCTTCCTCGAATCTGTGCCGCTGGCTGCGATGTCGCGCCTTGTTCACGGGGTGGTTCGGTGTGAGAGATTGTTACGTCAGAGGCCTTAGTCTGTTCCCTTGGTCCGTCTGTCGGACTAGAACGCGGTCGTTGGAGATTCGGTGGAGATGAAAAGAGGAGCTATCTTTCGTATCGTTGGGTCTAGTAAAAATTTCCGTCCAACCCCGCACCTCCTCGTATTCCAGATATACGGTCCCCCGAGACATCGGACCTGGGATAGTCTCGAAATCTCGAGACCCGCGACGACAGGTTGGCCCTGGGGGTTTAAACCAGAACCGGGCTCATTCTTCGTCGTCAATGCGCCATTTGCACGTCCGTGTTTAGCAAACAGAAGCGATTTCGATTTCGATCGGAGTGTCCTTTCAGTCGAGTGGCCGGTGGCTGGTCGAGCAACGGTATTGGCGCCACGTGCCTCTAATATCAAGCAGGAGGTCGTATATCCTCTCGGTGCGTCGCTCGTTAATTTGCCGTGGAGTCAGCGCATATAGGGCTAGTGGGCGCACAAGGTGCACCCCACACGTGGCCACACGAACGACGCTGGCGCGCGCACACACGCCTACCTCACGGACAGACGTATAGAACGTAGGGTGGACCGTGGTAGCACAACGGTGGCCACGTAAAGCCGCACACAGTCGCGTCGGATAAATAGGCATACACGAAAGAGCGCGCGCGTGGTTCTCGTCATTAGGTACGTAGCCTCGTTAGGATGAGTTTTTCCGCCGCTAATGAGGTGGCCTGCAAGTTGTCTCTGGTACCGGTGCAGACGGTCCAGCCGCGACGGTGGCTCGCTCCGCGTGGATCAGGTGGACGTCCGGCTTTCTATGACGGCCGCGCGCGAATCTGGAGACCTGGACACTATTTTTAATCTACCCCCGGGACGCGGACTTGACGGAATTAAAATGCATGTCCCCGAGAGCACCGCTTGCTTATCTCCCCGACGCGAGTCGTATATTTCTCTCTTAGCGAACTAGCCACCCTGCGCTGCTCCGCGTGGAATAATCCTCGTTCCTCCTGGCTGTTACGCCAGCGAACATCTTGTCTCTTTTTACCCTTTCCTCCCACTTCTTTCCTGTTTTCAATTTCGTCACCTGATTTCAGAGTTGCGTGTTTCATAGTGTAAGAATATATAAGATTACGCGAGTTCCGGTTACCGATAAAGCGGCGTGAATGAGAAGCACCTAGCAATGATACCCGGGGTCTCAAATCGAAGCGGCGATCCCTTTGATCCGCGATCAATGAACAAAGGTGACCCATCCTTAAGAGGACAGGTCGCGAAGCGTACGAGGTAGTTGTTAGACAGAGTTTAGACAGTTCCTAGAGAGTGCGTTGAGAAGAGTTACTGAGAGACAGTTATTAGGAAAGAGTATTAGCGGCCAGTTCTTGTTAGAATATTATTAAACCCCCCCTTACAATACCTAGTTACTTTTGCCGGAAGAAACACTGTCATTTAAAAGTTCATCAAGTGTATAGAGGTCCCTGTAGATGTCTCTAGTGGAGTACTTATACTTGATGTACTTGGTTAATTAAGTCGTGATTTTCTCTGAGAAAAGTATCGAAGAGGCTTTCCGGGTATGACGAAAAGCGCGAAATCGAAGGGATGATTGAAGGCATGACGCGTTCGCGATGACACCGCGAGGTCCCACGCGACAGCGACATTTAAGCGCCGTCGGACGAATGGCGCGCGCGTGTCCGCGCGTTTTTGCGAGACCTGCCCACGGCCATTAAATTTACGAGCCGTCACGGCTAACTTGCAAAGAATAATAACGTATATGCTCGAAATAATCCGCGGTCGGGAGAACCCGCTATATGGAAATAACCGGCTATTTGAACGGCTCGATGTCAAAGCAAGCCAGCCCGGATATAACTCAGCGCTTAAACGAGCCCGCGTTCGCATGAACCGCCGCGGACGCGTGCTGTTTTGGATTTAAAAACCTGCTCTTTACATTTTACTGCCGCGTTATTTCCAACCCTCTCTCTCTCCCTCTCGCTCCGCGTGTCACGCGTTTTACCAACAGGGTAAACCGGCGATTTAAACAAAATTGCGGGAAGCTTTGCGTCCACCGCCTCTTCCGTCAGTCAGTCTGTCACCGTGCGACTAATTTTTCCATAAGACTCTCGTCGATTAACTTTCTCCAAACTTGGTTGGCATGGTGTGACATCCATGGTGACGTCTATCCGAATCTGAGTCAAGAATCCTGAAGGTTTTCGTGAGTTTCCTTGGGGGACTTTGCCTTTTTAACACTAGATTCACGAAACCCGTCAATTTGACGGATGGGTTGCTCCAATTATACGATGGTAACAGATTTAGTTAACCCTTTGAACGCTATGAACCCATATATGGGTTCTCACACAACCATTCAATCTGGCCTATGACCGCTGTATAGTTTTGTAAAATAATAATTTTGTAATAAATGCACAATACAAAATTATTAAATTTTCAATTTAAGAGATATAATATACCATTTTGTATGGTATTATTGCTTAACCCATTAACTGCCACGCAAATTTAGCGCGTCTTGCCCTGGGTGCCACGGTTTTATTTTAAAGAAAACATGAAATTTTACAAAATATAACGATCTAATCGTCCAAGTTATAATTTTAATAATAAAAATTGATAATTAATATGTTCTCTACGCTATATACATTTTTCATTCATCCTTTCTAATAATTCCTAACTCAAATGGCCATTTTGGCCAATCTAAACTTGCAGCACACACTACGAGATATCTCGTAGCTGTCAGTTTTGGTGCAGACGCTTACTACGAGATATCTCGTAGTTGGCAGTCAATGGTTTAATGAAATAAATGGTTCTGTTAAAGTTTTTGCTGTCACTGCTCAAATTATTTCTTTTTTTTATTTTTTTTTATTAAAAAGCAGGCAATGCAGCGCGTGCTCTGTCGTAAGAAATGGGCGATCCCCAGTGCACTCTTAACGTCGAACAACTCGGCTCTCAGAGGGTTAACTTATATTGAGACTGTCAATATTGTAATTGTTTTTAAATTAAACTACTCGTTAAAAAAGAACAGATACGTGGTTTGCTTTACCTGCAAATTTGACAGGTGTCCGAAGAAATAGGTATACAGATAGCGTCCGTAAACCTAGCGTTAACAGACATCCACATCTACGGGAAGTAATTCGAGCCCTGACGACGACTCTCGACGCAGTCTTGAGTCTTCCTCAGCCTCCACGAGGCGAGTCTCGTCGCCCTCTTCTTCTTCTTCTTCTTCTTCCCTGCGCCACAGGCTCGCGCCAGTGATCGACTGCTCTCAAAGTGCTCCACCTCATTCTACTCTCGAGTGCTGTCCGACGTCGCCATTCATCCAGCTCGTTCCGGTCGACGTGGCCTGGTGCCGTTGCTTAATTCGCGAATATTTCACCGGGGCCCCGCGGGCTGAAAATACGCTACAGCTGCTCGCGTCGTGTCTACAACCGGGCCACCGTCGCGATTTTTCCGAAATATTCGCGACGTGGCCCGTAAATTTCCGTCGTTGGCGTATTTTTACGTCCAGCCCCGGCTCACGCTGCCCCCAGCCCCCCCCGTCTTACCGCGTTTCTTCGCGCGCGAGAGTATAATCCGCGGCCACGATAATTCTATTCCCGAGTACGGCTGGATCGTGCGATTTATTGTCCCGTGTTGTTGATGTTGTTGTCGGCGTTGTTACAGACGGCGTTGCACTGGGCGGCCAAGCACGGCGACGAGAACATCGTGAAGCTCATCGCGGGCAAATACAAGAATTACATCAAGAGCATCAACGAGACTTCGGTGAGTGGTATCGAGATACATTTCAAACGCTTCGGCAGCAAAAATCGGGGTAACTGGCGCAAAAATTTCGAAAATTCGAAGATTGAAAATCGCAAATTCAAAACTCCCGTTTCGATTTACCTTAAAGCTTTAAACTTCGTTCGAAATTCGAACAACGTTCTCACGTTGTCACTTCATCGGGTCATAAAAGCTGCCAAGCAGTATTTCTTTTTTTAAAGGACATTATGCAAAGATGGGCGCATATAGGGTGCGTATGGAGTTTTTACTACCGCGTGGTTGCCATCGCGAATAAGCTTACGATCCGTATATCGTGCAACGTAGACGTGAATTTGTGCACAGCCAGGCAAATATTTCGAAACTTAGCTCTAGCACCGATTCTAGAATATAATTCTGTCTTCTCCTGTTTCCGGTTGCGGTACCAACCTGTGGTCCACAGAACGGGGTAAGTCTTACAATTTTCATTCGCGTCAAATATCGCACACATCGACGTTTATACCATCGAGCTACGAGAAGACCTCCCAAAACCTGAACTCTAGCTTCCAACCCATTTATTCCACGCGAACCACTGATCTTCTCAATCTGACCCCCAAATCCATCAACTCTTTCGACACCTGTCGCGAGTGTTAGTCTAGAACTCGTGATCGCGAACGATAGCTGGAAAAAGGAAGGTCTGGGGGTAAAGGGTGTCATCGATAAAGAGAAAAGCGAAAAGAAGCGAGGTCTGTCCGGGAATAAATCGCGAGCGAGCACCGCGACCCTATCTACCGTGATCTCTGAGCGGCCGGCGTGCGAAAGGAGCGCTGGACGCGGATTTAAGCGGGCAGCGAGCGCCGCGCGTCTCTGCTCGGCGGTAGAGAAGAGAGGAGAGGAGAGACGGCGCAGAGTTTGTCCCCGTGGCGGAAGGGTAAGGAAAGAGAGGGAAAGGTGGACGCAGCGCACAGAGAGAAGGCTGCAGATAGGATCGGATGTGTGTGGTCCGCCGCTTTGCTCTTTATAAGACTTATATAAGCTGGAGTGCCCTTCGCGGGGCAAAGGAGGGCAGAAAGGAGACGGACCGTCGGAGAAAACGGGAGAAAGAGAGCGAGAGAGGAGAGAAGGTTGCTCGTTAGCGGCTCGCGACAAACACCGCTGAACTACCGCACACGTTCCACGCTAGATAGCCGGACGAAGGTGGAAACGCGTAGAACGTTTGTCGTCCCGGTGAAAGAAAAATGGCGACCCCTCGAATTCATCGGAATTCAATTTGGCGCAAATGGTAGTGCCAGGACGAGCGTGGTATTTTCTGGTTTATCGCGAGGAAACGGTTACGCGGTGTACAAGGTTCTTCCCGTACCCTCTTTCCCCTCCTGACCCGCGGAGCGGCTCAATTAAGGCGATTAGCAGCGTAATGGCTGCAGATCGTATCTAATCGCGATCATATTCGTCCGACGATGAATCTTCCGAAGTTGCAAAGCACGTTCGCGCATCCGCCTGCTCGTTACTCGATACGCTTCTTCCTTTTCCTTTTTATTTCCCCCTTATCCACGTCGTTTATTTCCAAAATCTTCAAGATGCAAGATCTTCGAAAACCGTGCGAAACGTCATCGATCACGATAGACCCCGGATAGGTACTCTGCGTTGCTGAAAAGAAGTCATCTCGTTCGGTTGCGGAGCAAGAGGAGTATTCCACTTTAGTAATACTCACTTTTCTATAACATTCCCAAAACTACTATCTCCAAGTTCGGTAACGTGACACGTTAACATGGGCGTGAGATATCCGCGAAAGAAACGTTATCTCAGAGTTAACTTACAATGAATTGGAAGCACTACTACGTCAGGCAATAAACGAAACGACACCAAATGATTGGAAAGGATTTTGTAAACACGTAGAAACACCGGAACACGAATATCGAACGAAAGATGGAATAATAGAAGACGCAACTGAGGACCTAGAATTGGAAATACAAAGCAGTGAGTCGGATAAGAAATCAGACGACGATAGCTCAAAGATTTATAAAGTGAAGAAGTACAAAAGTAATAATAATTAACATCATTTATGAAAATTGATTTAAAATTTAAGATGTATTTTTTATGATGAATTAATTATATAATTGCATCATACTAGATAACCGTTTAAAAAATCGCACAATACAACATAAATATAAAAAGTATGCGTATAGTACATCACGTTTGCTGCGTAATGCAATGAAAAGTTAATCAAGATGCTAATTAGTAATCGGTAATTGCGAATAATCGTGTGTTCATCGGAAGAATCTGAAGTTAATATGCTTTTGGGACGAGTCTACGCTCTTGCATCTATTTCTTGCGTCTGTCTCGCTTTGTCTCGTTGCTTCGTTCGCTTTCTTTGTCACATGGTGTTCTATGAGCGAGCTAATAGGAAAGGATCAGTTCTACCAATAAGGGAAACATTTTACTCTACTTCTGCCATGATGTTAGAATGGTTGAGGATTGGTGAGGATTCGGTCCTACAAGTTTCTCAGATGACTTCTTTCCAGCAACGCAGAGTAGATGAAACGAGAAAAGTAGTGTAAGAACCCCCTCGAGGTAGCTTGGATTCCTTTAAAACGTCAGCTCTGTATCCGTGGAAGTGCGCCAGACTCTCTGTTTTCGGGGATTAGTGCTCGATTTAATAAATACGCGTGTATCCGTGTAGGTACCAACAACGTGGACCCGAGCTAATCCACTCCGGAATGGATCCGTCCTCTATCCGGCCAGCTCTTTTTTCCTCCCAGCAGCGGCTTTAGCGGCAGACGGTGAATCGTGTGGCACGGCGTAATCTGTCACAGCCACCACTCTCGCCGTAGTTTTCTGCGGCTTATCCCAGCGGCCGCCTCGCCCGCTTAATGCCCTGGCAAATGAAAAAGAGGGAAAAACGTGGCGAACCGGGAACGAGTCTCCCCGACGGCGGGATCCTAAGTCGCGTATCCTCCTCGCCGCGATTTCGCACCGTGTAATATCCAACCCGTCCTCCGATCTAACCGTCTCGAATCAAAGCAATTCCATTTTCCCGTCATTCGCTTGTAAACGCTGCCTTTACGATCGTTTTTACGCGCCGGATGCAACGATTCGTTTCCTAGCGAGATTATAGATTTCGACCACTGCGAAGGTAGATTACAAGCGCGAGCAACTCGCAGTGAAACGAAGGGTAAATTGAGCAGTTCGTCGGCAGAGTCGATTAACATCGACTAGACAACAAGCTAGAGATATGAATTTCTTTTAAATATAAATCCTCGAGTAACGGCGCAATCGTCTTGGCGCTAAAATTTCAAGAATTTGGAAAGCAGAGTTAATTACCGTGGGATAGAAGTGGTTATAAAAGAATGATGAATTTCGAACAAGCTTCTAAGAACTGCATAGTTCAGAGGGTACCGTTTTGCGAACGATTCGCTTATTTTGTCTAATGGATAATAACCGGAAGCGGCGTTCACACGATACCACGTCTTCATCGAAGATGCTACTGTTACGCGTGTTAGCATTAAACAGACACGTGTAAACGTCTCAATCGAACCTGCTATAATGCCAATTCTACTTGGATCAAAGAAGCCACGAAACCTCCTATATCCATCTTCAAATTTCTAATCAAAATTGGTCGCTTTTATCGCTAATCTTCGCGAATTTTTCCTTGACAGGCGCAAAATCAATTTCCTCAGGCTCTCATTCCGTCTTCATCGAAGATGCTACTGTTACGCGTGTTAGCATTAAACAGACACGTGTAAACGTCTCAATCGAACCTGCTATAATGCCAATTCTACTTGGATCAAAGAAGCCACGAAACCTCCTATATCCATTTTCAAATTTCTAATCAGAATTGATCGCTTTTATCATTAATTTTCTCGAATTTTTCCTTGACAGGCGTAAAATCAATTTCCTCAGACTCTCATTCCGTCTTCATCGAAGATGCTACTGTTACGCGTGTTAGCATTAAACAGACACGTGTAAACGTCTCAATCGAACCTGCTATAAAGCCAACTCTACTTGGATCAAAGAAGCCACAGAATCTTCTATATCCATCTTCAAATTTCTAATAAAAATTTAGTACTTTTATCGCTAATCTTCGCGAATTTTTCCTTGACAGGCGCAAAATCAATTTCCTCAGCCTCTCGTTCCATCTTCTTTGATCCCCTTGAGCCCCCTTCCTCTTCATCTGCATCGTCTACTGTCCGTCTACTGTAGAGGGACATAGTCCCTTATTCTGATCCTCCAAGTCGTGCAGCGTTGTTTACTTTCCAGCGATTCGAGACAGCTTCGTATCAAACGAAGCATAATTTTTAACCTAGATCGGGGGCCCGATAGTCAAAGCTAATTCCCTCCGCGAGAACTACCTGAATTCTAATCCCCCTGTGAGGAGGCGGAGAGGAAATTCTCGTGGCGACCCGAGGCGTCGTAACAGCCAGCCTGTTTCTTCCGCTGTGAACCGGACGTCATCCGGAGGTTTGCCTCGTTTGCCGATAGACACATCAGACGAAATTCGTCGCGGCGTTTGTTCACGCGACCGGACCAGGTGGGCGTCGAACGTTAGACGTCGCTAGAGGTACGCGGCGCATGGCGGATCGCAGTCACGAGCGTAATCTGTCACCGGTACCGCTTCCAGCGTAGTTTTCTACGGCTTATCGCGGCATCGGCTCGCATTTAATCCCCGCAAAAAACGGTGCCCGTTCCCCACGGGGACCGTAAGCCGCCCGTGTGGCGCCTGCATCCTTGCCGGGCGTACGACAGCCAACGACAATGGCGATCCCACCGGTAGACCCTCGAGACACTGGCGGAATCTGTCGCGTACACCGGGTGACCCATTTCGAACGTATCCTGCGGAATTACGGGATCGAGCATCTTGCTGCGAGTATGTCTGTCGGGTATAAGGTAAATGGGAATTGCTACGACGGATGGTAGCGTAGCAGGTGGGAAGATGCTATGAAAGAGTCGACTGTTTGACACTTTGGTGACGGGAAATGCTAATTCGCGGCTTACATGGGAATCGACATGTTCCACGTGGACTCGTTTCGCGCGAATGAAAATCGCGTTAACCCTTTGAGGGTTGAGGTTTGATAAGTGACGACAGTTGTTTTCTGGAAGAAGCGAATGTGTGCACGTGATAGAAAGAGTCTTGTCCCAAAGAAATTCAGTGTTCTATATCTAACTGTGGTATAACAGTTTTGTTGAGATTATTGGGATGTTGATTAACACTTTGACTGCCACGTTGGACATATATGACCGGCCACGGCTTCTCCTATGACGCCACGGTGGTCATTAGTGACCGGAGCTTACTTAAATTACATCGAACAACATTGAATGAAAATTGACAATTAATATATTTTGAATATAAACGCTAATTAGAAGATACTTTGAAATAAAAGGTGCCCTATTGAACTATTATATAATCTTGCATCTAGCGGTGCACTTCCGTGACTTCCTGAGGCAAACATGTGATTCCAATTGCGTGGCAGT